TAAGTCTAATAAAAATAAGATAATTATAAAAATGGCAGGCTAAAAATTAAATAAAATAAAAAATGAAACAATACCAAATTTCAGCTGCTAGCTCTCATAAACTGAAACTAATTTGATGATTTTCTGTATTTTATTTGGTTGAAGAAGTCAGCATTTCATTTGTTTTTTTCCTCTTAGTGAATAAAATAACATATATGGATAAAAACGTTAAGCTGAAAATACTATGTTTCTTTCCTGCTTCTGCTTCTGTGCAGACAGTTTGGTGACTCTGGTCTTCCAGACAATAAACCAGTCTGACTGGGCAGGGCAGTGGGGGGAAGTCCCCCTCTGTGGCCGAATGATTTATTTAAAAAGAGGATGTTTGCACTGCTAGTTGTGGAGTGGACGCATGACACGGCGGGACTCTTGATGACTTGTGGTCTGACCTGGAGCATCACTTTGGATGAAAACTGAAGATGATGCACACACTCACTGAGTCAACCAGCTAACGCCAGGCCTCAAGTTTACTAAAACTAACCTCCACTGTTGTATTTATGCAAATTTCTCCATGATTTTTCTGATTTGAAGTCATCTAAACTCCATTCAACCACATCCCTGCCCTCATCTATGCCACTGCTGTCCTTTCTGTGGGTGCTTCTGATGGCATGTTACCGCTTTACCGTCTAAGCTGGTGAAAAATTATGTGCCACCAATGAAACTGGGAATTTCTGTGGTTTGGTGGTCTGCATGACCATTAAAAATGTTTTCCTGACTCATACGTGCTCAGAAAAAAAAAAAAAACAACACAAGCACACCTATGCACCTCTCCTGCTAGACATCCTGTCTCTGGGGCTGACACCCGGCCGGCCAGAGATTGAGTCACACCTGAAAATAGAGCCTCCGTTTTGTGAAGCACACACACTTCTTGTATGATTTGAGTTAAAAAGCAGAAAACCTGAAGCCACAGTAATGCAGTTTTCCAACTTTCTTCAGGATACCATGCATATTTTAACTTCCACTGCCATTTTTTTATTGCCTGTTTTTCCCCCTCCCAACACTGACAGCCAGATGTCCTACATAGCCAGTGAGTGGGAGCATGGCATGGACACACAGGCCTTCAGTTGTGTGTTTGGTTTGTGAAAGCCTGCACACGGGTGTGTTGTCCCCATGCAGCACCGGAGCAAAAAAAAAAAAAAAAAATGTTGGGAAAACCCCAGAAACATTCCTGCAATTCCTCCCCAGCACCACCCAGAAAAATGCACAGAAGTGGTATTTTAGATTTTTTTTTCTAATTGAGAAAAGTTTGTGGTGTTGCATATTCTGCAGTTGAATTTTACCCAGCATTCATACTCTCTCCGTCCTCTTGTCCCCTTCTGATTTCTGGTGCCACGTTGCACCGCAAAACCCAGGCTTCACCCTGGAGCTTTAGAGCTGAGTGCAATGATGGGGCTGGATTTTCTCCTGTTATATCAGACTAAGATAGTGCATATAAGGGTAGAAGGGAAAATAAAACCACAGGGGGAAATAATAACACCAATGGAGCAGTGACTGAGTGCAGATGCATTTAAGGCATAAATCTATTTTACTGGGAGCCACATGCTCCAAATGATCCACTTTGAAAGATGGAAAGTAAGTCTAAATGCTTAGAAGGAAAATTTACAGGAATAAGAAAAGACTAAGGAATTATCCACAGTACTGCTAGTGAAGATCAGACTGCCATGAGAACATATAGATCCGAAAGTGTGACTTTAGTATTTTCTTTAAAGGGGACCTAATATGCAAATATAACATTTTGCACACTTTGTTCGTTCCATTTCGGTCTCAACTGCTTCTTAAAACAGCTAAAGTTCTTGGAAAAAAAAAAAAAAAAAAGCTGCTTTTTGGACATTAGTTAATGTCTTTGGTGTCTGGAAAATTAGCAGTTTCAAAAACCTTCCGAATGTAATGTCACAAATCAGCAGGCACAAGCCCAGCCCGTTACCTAGCAACCCCAGGGAAGCCCAGTCCGTTACCTAGCAACCCCAGGGAAGCCCAGCCCGTTACCTAGCAACCCCATGGAAGCCCAGCCCATTACCTAACAACCCCATGGAAGCCCAGCCCGTTACCTAGCAACCCCAGGGAAGCCCAACCCATTACCTAGCAATTCCAGGGAAGCCCATTCTCTCACCTAGCAACCCCAACTGAGCCACTGAGTGCGATGTACAATGGCTGCTGGAAAAGAAAAGTGCTTTGTTGTTGACTTACTAACCAGAAACTACTTACTACATTTCTTTTGGGTGTGAAGGAGGCTCCACTTCTGCTTTTCAAAGATATATTGTTGTATGATAGCGCATCTGTTGCAGCCATTGCAAGTGTAAACATGGAGTTGGGGGCGTTTCCAGCAGGAGTTTATTTGGATTTAAATTGGCAAGAGGCCCTAAAACAACTCAATCTGAAAGGAGCTCAATAAAAGCAGAACTGCCCAGACTGAAATCTCATTATCCAAGAATAAGTTTGTGCAAAAAAAAAAGTAACAAACATATTTTGTGTAGCCTATAGATCTATCCAAACCTGTTCAAGGAAGCATAATAGGTCACCTTTTCAAGGTTTTCGTAGACATAAAAAGAATATATCTCCAGTTTGTCATAGCAGAGCGCCATATAAAGGCCACTTATATCCACTTGTGGTCTTGTCACTGTTTAATATCACTGAGTTTTTATTTTTATTGTTCTATTCTTTGCTTTATGTTGTGATAGTTGGTGTAAAATGTGAAGCAATTTGGCCAACTGCTGTTAATTTAAATGGGCTGCACAAATAAATCTGACACTGACATTTTTAAAAAGCATCAAAATACATTTTAGATCTCAAAGGTGTAAGCACCTCTGACAAAATGATCGACCAAATGTGTCCCTGAACAACCTCATGATTCGATTTTAGTATTCAATCTGTCACATCATGTTGGTAACATCTTCCCACTCTGTTTAAATAATAAAAAAAATCCTTAAAATGTTGCATCTCTTCCCTATTTCCCCATAAATATGGAGGAAACAGGAGATTGTTGTTATTGAAAAAAACAACCAGAACTTGTTGGACATTCCTGCTTCATTGTTAGTGCAGCCTCTATGACCACTTTTCATTTTATCCTATTCATTTTTGATAGCTTTCGATTTTATATTTTCTGAAATTCCTCACGACTCTGGAATTTTTTCTTCTGACTGATAGTTTTTGTACCTGCTCATTACTTTCATTTTTACCTTGATTTTAATCCCTTGATGCCTCTCTGCAAACTATGGTTTTTGCTAAGGAATGAGGAAATGAGTTGAAGCAGAAAAAAGGAAAGTTTTTTGACAAAAAATGCTCTTGAAGCTAGATTCAGTTGGAAAGAAGGTAACCTCATTTTCATAAGCGATTTTCTCTGCCTTGTGTCGTCTATGTTTTGTGTTTGGAGCACATTGATGCCATTGCTGATCCTCTACAGTAAATATTCAGTTTGATGACGTTGTGTTCAAAGAAAGACCATGAAAAACAAATCTGTAATTTTGGGAAAAGTTAATTTTCACGAGAACCTAGACTGAAAACTTTGAAGTGTAATCAACAATCAATCTGTTGCAATTAGGAGACTTGTTTGGGCAAATCGGACGCATTTCCATGACGCAAATGGTCCATTTCACCCTATCTCAAAGTTAGTCAACTGGATTAAGATTTGTGTCTGTGGAGGCCAATGGAGTACACTGGGCAGGGCAGCAAAACTGAATCCAAGGGCCCACATCCTCTTAAGTCCGGCCCTGGCCTGGGATAGTTTTACAACTAGCAACGCCACTGACTTAGATTTCTGTTTATGTTAAAATTAATATAATCTTTTCTTGGAAATTTGTGTTTATTCCTTATTTAGAGATTACCTCATGTACATTTAAGCATATTTATAACTATTCTTTCCCCCAAAATATTGCTAAACTTTTGCTTTTCAGTTGGCAATTATTGGCAAAATTAAATCTGCGTAGGAATGCAAGTGTGCAGCTTGAATGTGGTGCAAGCTGCCTGAGCCATGGCCTTGACTCTTACGGAGCAACACCCCCCTCATCGTCAGGCTTTCCAGCGGTTTCCACCGGCCAAGGGCAGTCTGTGAAGCCGCGTCGGAGGCTCTGGAGCACCGCAGCGGCTCCGGACAGCTGCCGGGCACCCTGGTGCAACACGTAAACAACAACACAACAACAACAGAGCTGCACTCACCTACATCGGCGTTGCAGAACGCCTGTTGCGGATGCACCGGAGCGCAGCTGCACGCTTCCGCGAGCTCCTCCGCGCGCCACAGCAGCAGCAGCAGCGCGAGCGCAGAAAGGATGCCGTTAACGGAAAACGGCATCTTGGTAAACACTGCAGCGGGGCTTCTTCTTCTTCTTCTCCTTCTTCTTTTTCTTCTTCTTCTCTTTCTTCAGCCTCTTCGTCTCCGTCTGCGCAGATGCGTTGCGGAGTAGATCCAGAGGCAGCGCTTCCTCCCTCCACTGGTTTCACCGACACGCACGTCAACAACAACAACAACCAGGCAGGACCTGCCGGTTCGGCTCCGTAATGACAGAGAGGCTACACGGTGAGACCAGAGACCCGTCCTGACACTGCTGTCAGCAAATGTCTGTCTGCCCGGAGTGTTTTGACTTCAGGGATCGAGGAGGTTCTGTAAATCTGAAGCTCCTCCCCGCTCGCTACACGGACTACCGGCAGAGGGCGCTGTCTCCCACCTGATGCGATGAAAAGGTCCCTTTTTCCAACAGAACTTGAATCTGACCTACAATAATATTTTTTTATTACGCTGTACTTTTCACTTTTAGCTTGAGTAATTTTATTAAGTATCGCTACTCTTGAGTAAAATTTCTGGATTTTCTACCTATTGTAAGTAACTTCACTGAATGAAGAACATTGCGAAAGGTTTGGTGAATGTTTTAACCAAAAATTCACCAAACACAGACACACACCTGCAGTTTTTGTTACCGTTTCATAAGTTTTTATTGAAAGAAACTGATTTATTTTTGCCTGATTTTGTTATTTTTTTACTTGTATGAATTATCATTTTATCCTCAAAATACCAAAATTTCCACTTAACTTTGTATTTTGGTCTGTCTGATATGTCATCTTTAAATATGCAATGACTGATAATTTGATCAGTTACCAGTACTTGAGTAGTGTCAGTTTTGTTTGAGTTTCAAAAAGTTAAAATTTTCACCTGAAAATTGACTTTTTTTTTTTTCTTTTCTATATACAATGTGACACTATAGCTCAGTTAATGAATAGATTCCGGTCAGCTACATGAAAATCACAAAAGGCTAGCTCACACATAGCAGAAACTCAGTAGCAAAATAAAAAAAAGGTGCTTAGCAACCAATTATCCGGCTAAAATCACCAACAAATGTGTCCAACAAATGGCCTAATAACGCAAAAACACAAAACTACCTAGTTTTATTTGTTTGCTTTGTTTTTCAAACATATAAAAGATGTAGCAAACAGATAACTACAGATAACGACGGGGTATTTTAATGTTTTGAACGCTGAACATGCAGCTTTGGGGCCCCCTGGTGGCGTGGAGGTCCTACGTAGTTGCCATGTTTAACTATAGCAAGAAACTGTCCACGTTTAAGGCACTCTTACAGGACTTGAATCTATATTTTTCCAAGTCTAACTGAAAAATTTAAGCTTTTAAAACTTTCTTGTAACTCTTAAGTGGTCTTAACTATTTAGTTTTCCTGGATTGTAGGATTGTAAAAAACATTTGTTGCTTTTCTACAAATTTTCCTCTAAACATTTGTACTTAATTGTAACAGCATATTACTTGAAGACGTGAAAATTGTCCCTTTGAGAGGAAAAGAAGTCATTTCTAGGTTAGATAACTGGCACAGTATAAATCAAATGAATAGAAATCTAAGAAATAAGAAAAAAAATTCAACAAACTGACAGATCTGTACACATTATCATTCATCCGACTGCAAGCCAAGTTTTAGATTAATACCTCTTTGGGAATTACCTTGTTGGAGCCAAACTGTGAATTTTGAGAATGAAATAGAGTCTGGATTCTCAGCTAGTTTTTTAAGTTTTATTTTTGGGCATTCCTGCAAAAGTTTTAGGAGATCCTGTTAGTTTTTTGAGCTCCCAAGGCACTTTTCCGAGATCCAAAGTTCCCTTGCGAAGTCTTAAGACGGAGCGCTCCCTGAATTACTTTGGCAAGGTCCCACAAAGGTTTTACAAGAATCTGAGTTGTATTTGCTTGCTCCCACAGATATTTTTGCAATCCTCCAGTGGATTTTTCACCAAGTTACTTTTGTGAAATTCTGAGGTACTTTTGTGAGCTCCAGCAAAAATTTTACAATATTTGAAGTCCAAACTTATTTTTGCAAGCTTCCTCAACGGGTACTTAAGCAAGATCCTCAGTGAATTTTAAAAGATCTTACAAAACCTTCACAGGAACTTGCAAAAGGTATTTCATGATCATGACAAAAGCATCTTTATCTTTCCAGCAGTGTCTCAGTAAATAAGGTTAATTTTACATGAAAAGCCCTTTTTATTATATAAAAGGGAAAATGTTTAAACAATGCAGCAGCTTCCACACACTAACATTCCCTTTTTGGAGTCAACAGGAGTTAAAGTAAGAAGAAAATAAATTAAAGCAGTAAAAGTTAGAAGAGCAGATAAAGCCATGAATTAATCAGATTTCCTGTGCACCTTTTTTTTGTCCTGAATTAGTCACATAAATCTGTTTCAGAGATTGATTTCTGCATTTTATCATAAGAAACTTACTCACTTAAACAAATAAATACCACTTAATGTTACCTTTTTGTAATACTTTGATAAAACTGAACTGCAAAGCAGCTTGACCTGTTTCTAAAAACAGATCAACTACTTAAAAAAACACCCAGCAGTTTTTTTTAACAGTTAATGTTTTTTGATGTCTGAAAAATTGGCCATTTCAAACACCTCCAGATTGCTAAGCATATGTTAAATCACAGTCAATGGGCGCTGCACCGTTACCTAGCAACCCTGGCAAGCCAACCTGTTACCTAGCAACCTAGTATGTTGTTTAAGCTGGTTTTATCGCTGTATGCTCTGTACAGTGGCAGCTGGAAAAGACAAGTGTTTTGTTGTTGAATCACTATTTAGAAATCAAGTGTTCCATTCTTGTTGGTTGTGCAGAAGGCTCCACTTCTGCTTTTCAGAGATGCACAGTTAGTCTCAGAAATGTTTCAATTTTCTTGAAAAAAACACTTGGAAATTTCAGTGTCAAAAGTTGAAAATTTTTGAAACTCAAATTTTCACCAAAAAAAAAAAATTCTAGAAAATTTCTGAGATTGCTCAGACTATTTTTCTAGCACATTTTTGACTTTTCAAACTCAGAAATTTCTAAGTTTTTTTCTTGAAAACTTCCAAGACTAAACCTTTGGTGGAAATGTATGCATTTATTTATTTATTTTCTTTCAACAATGGCCCTAATTTGCCACCATAGTTTGCAGCCATTTTGTTCTACGAGTGTAAATGTTGAATTTTGGGGCATGACCAAAGGAACTTATTAGGATTTAAAGAGACAAGACGCCCTAAAACGGCTCAAAATAGGCAGAACTGACAAGACTGAAATCTCACCATCTAAGCATGATTTTTTGGGGAAAAAAAAAAAAAAATTGAACATACTTTTATAGCCCACAGATGTATTATGACTTGTTCAAGGAAGCGTAGCATAATAAGTCACCATTTATTAATTTATCTTAGTGCAAGGGGAAAAAACACACAAGAGTAGTACTATTTAAGCTTCCAAAAACATCACTCTGAACGCTCAGTTTTAAAACTGTGTGGGTTTTATTGCAGTTCATGCTGAGGTTCAAGTTTACACAGCTAAACCGTCAGGTTGGCAACCATTTCAAATGAAACAGCAAATCTCCTGCATTACTCCTTTCTGGCACAAGAGGGCAGCAGCTTCCACTAGAATGAGGGACCGTTTAAGACTCATCGCGTTCATAAAGGCATTTTATGGCTCCACAGTGAAGCCAACGGATAAAAACAAATAACTTGAGTTCGGCAGCGTTGCTCCTGTTGCTCTGTAAAAGGCACAGGCTGTAGCAAGGATCAGGACACTGACGGCTCATTTTACCACAAAGAAAAGTCTACAAAGGCAAAGTAATGCTGCGTTCCTGAGTTGAAATCGTTTGGTTTCAGAACAGCTGTCCTCTCTTCTACAGAGAAGGGATTGGTGACAAAGGAAAGCTGAACACGACGGACAAGAAGCAGACTCTGAAATGAAATAAACCTATAAATTATTTTAGATCAATGATTAAAAATGGCGGCATGCTTTGTGAAAGCTCTGACTGCAGCAGCCCATGCAGTGTGAGACAGTAGAAACAGCAAGCAGCCCTTAGTCTGACCCTCAGAGGCCTTTGTTGAAGTAAACTAGCTGGACTTTGTCTCCGTACTGAGACACGATGGAGTCTCTGAGCTCCGGCTCCAGCTTCGATACGGCCATGGAGCTGCAGGAGGAGAAAAAATACATTAAAAAAAGAAAAAACAACATCAATTAGTTAATGAAAACATACAGTTTAAACCGATTTACAACCATAAAAATGTCTTAAATCAATATCAGTGTTATAATCACCATTATTATTATTATTCATATTGTTGCATCAAAATTATCATTATATGAATTACTTTCATTATCATTCTTATTATAATCAAAAGCACTGCTACTTAAATGAATATTATATAATTTTACAGTAATAACTGATGACAACTTTTACTACATAATCAGTGTCCTTATATCTCAATTCTTATTGTTGTCGATATAATTATAGTAACAGACAATGGTCATGATTAGATTATATAATTATTTTTCTCATAATCAATATCTAAATTATCTTTGTTATTGTTGCTATTAAATAATTTATTTATGATATAATAAATAATAATGCCATTAAAATAATAATTATCAATATTATTAATAATATTATATTTTACATGATTAAAAATTATTATATTAGTAACATTATTATATATTACTAACAATAATTATATCAATATTTAACAAATTAGTAACATTACTAACATTGTTATTACTGTTAATATTTATCTAATAATAGCTATAATAATTATTATAAGTTATTGTATTATTATTAATACTATTACAACTAATAATAATACTAATGATTATCATAATAATTATTATTATTAACAACAACAATAATAATAATAATAATAATAATAATTTACACCTGACAAATGTTAATGAGTGACTTGTCTTCCTTACTGGATTCAAAACCAGATTCTAATTTATCTTAAATATCCTATATATAAAGTGAAGCTGCATGAAAAACGATTCCTAAATTAATTATTCCTAATAAATACACTTCTTTGTTTGGTTCTGGCCTATATTTACACTTTGATTAATGTTTGAAGAGCGATAGAGAATGTCTGATCGTAGCTCCTAAATTTTTTGCTCCATTTGGTTTCTCCCACACGTTTAAAAGAAGCAAACTGTTATAAAAAATGTAAGGGTCACTGGGTGTCTTCAGAGAAGGAATTAAACTTTTATCAGCTGTCAAAGTTTTATTACAGCTGAATTATAGAATCTTTTGTAAGCATGTGTCCCATAAGACAATCCAAAAGATTTCAGCTCACTGTTTTTAACTATTTGACGCTCGCTTCTCTGCTCACAGCTCAGCTCCCCGTTAT